GAATTATATTAGTTAAAATATATTAATTATGTATAGGTAGATAAAATATATGATTAAATACGAGATAAAAATATTAAGTATTGTAATTCAGTGTTTGGTAAGACATTAGATTAAGAATGAAATAGTAGAGTAACAATTATATATTAGCTAAAAAATTATCAATCTTGTATAGTTATTAATGTTTTTGTTTATGTATTGGATAAAATACTAAATTTACAACTTAATACGCTTTAATTGGACTATGATACCACTCCCCTTAGGTGGTATTATAATGTGCTTAATAGTATGGATACAATGTATTATTTGGATAAGTAGTATATTACTTGGATAATAATTTGAAATAAGACTATATATAATATATAGTATTTTTTACAACCAAATGTTATATAGGATTGGATTAGAGAGTCTTAATCTTTTACGAATTTGTAATTTACCCTTTAAAGTTGTAACCAAACGACCCTTAATTGTTTGAGAAAATATGATTACAGCGTTATATCATAAAAGAAAAAGATGACTCAAAATGCTTAAACTTAATGTCATCTTGATTTAATTAATTCTTGGATAAGACACTATGTTGATATCAAATGCACTTATTTGACTAGAACAAATATTATGTACCATGCCTCTAAATTTAATTGATAGGTTTATTTGTTATTTTGAAAATGATTCAGGATTAGAATTGGAAATTATTTTATTTTTACTATTATTTTGTCTTAATTTTAGGGCTAATTTCCTTCTTGACTAAGTTTCCTTTTTATATTAGTATTGAGAGAGGGTTCTTAACTTTAGCGTGCCAAATTTTATTTATTTATTTTTGTTGAATATTGACGTTGATCATATTTTTATTGTGTTCCGTTGTCTCACTCACCTAGGAGATGATATTTAAATTGGTGGATTTCAATTAAAATTAAACTTATTAATCTGCCCTTCTGTCAAATTGAACACTTCATTGTATGAAAGATAATATTATCAGAAGTGATATATGATTTGAAGGCATATTACCAGACCCATATATTTCTTTTACTCCTATTCAATCATTCTCAAACTATGAGAGAGAATAAAGATAAATCATATTTTTATCGAAACCTATCTCGTAAACCCAATTGTATGAGTGTGGATTGGTCTTACAAAACCAATCCAATCCTAAATAGAAAAAAAAAATACTAAACGGCCCTGCGCATTGCTGAATGGTTAGTGTTAGTCCTTTGATGTTTTGGGACAACCATAGTAGGTGTGCAAGTTGGGAAGCTAACCTAATCTCAACTCGAACTTTTTAGTATTTGGTTGAAGTTTTTAATATTTGGGTTGGACTTGATTAAAAAAAATTTAACCTGAATTGAATTTGGATAATACTCGGGTTGGGGGTTCAGGTTAACTAGTTCAACCTAGACCCGAACCGAATTTATGAAATTAGATTCAATTCAAAATTTATTTTTAAGAAAGGAAAATTATACACACAAATATGAAAAGGATATTAGTGCATCTGCCTCACATCCTTCTTTTATTGCTAATGATGTTTGAATGAAATTTGTTCTTTCTTTTTTCTACTTTAGGTTTGACTAATGAAAAATTTATAGAATTTAGATTTAATTTTATGGCAGAAGACAAAACTATATCATATTTTTTGTTTTAATTTAATTTTAATTAATAAGAAGTCCGATTCCAACCCCAATTACAACCCAAATTATGCATACTCGAGCTCAGCCTAAGTTTAAAAATTTAATCATGGGTTAGACTTGGGTTGAAGTTGTTCGAGTTGGTTCGAATTGCATTGAGCTCGGATTAAAAGTTTCATATCTTGGGTTGGGCCAAAGTTGAATTCTCAACTTGCTCAACCCGTCCGAGTTGTACCTCTAATTTGTAGTTTACGTGACCTCAACTAAGTGTATCTCAGACAACTTTGACAGTTAGCTCTTTGTTTTTTCTTGAGCATGGTTAGGGTTATGAGTCCTATGATACTAGACATAAATAAATCAGTATTTCTTTATATGTAGGATATTAACACGGGTTTGAATTCAATTTGGTATTATTGAATAAATACTAATGCTCATACATTAGAACATTTTATTAGAACGTTCAAAATCCTAAAAGCTCCATAAGCAAAATTCAAGCCTTGACTCTATGAAAATTACTAACAATGAAAGTTGCAATCTTTTAAGTTTAAGTAAGTTGACATGATTTTGGTAACTAATCATTTCAAATTAATCAAAATATTCCTAATTAAATATGTTAGGAAATTGATGTAATTGGCAAATTCCGTGAGTCACATGTAAATTATAGCTCATGTTAATCCATGGTCCAAGATACTTTCTTGTTGAAGATCCAAGCAAGATGGAAGAAGATGATCAAACTTCATTAAAGAATCCTTAGAAGTCATCAAGCTTTGGTAAAGTTAAAAGACTTAGAGACCTAGTTGTCCTAATTGGTTAACTTAGGTAAATTGTTTAAAATGAGACTTAGTGTTTGATCCTTTCTATGAATTTCATTTTTGAGTAAGAAAAATGTTTAGGAAACTTTGAGGGCTATTTTGAAAATAAACAAAAAGTCATGGTCTGGAGCCTTGATGAGTATCACCCTTTGGTACTCTTGAGTTTGGTTTTGACCATTGGTTTAGGTCCTAAAACCAGTGTTCAAAGTTCTGTGAGAGCTCGATCTGTTTTGGAGTGCATTGGGCCGGAAAACAAATTCCAGTGACCAACGCTTGCTGAGTGTTCGAGGGCTCCTGGTCAGGATGGCCAGATTTCATTCCAATATTCAGCGCTATTTAAGGGCAAGCTCGCTCGACCACTCCTTCGCAAAACCTGATTTTCTTGGTATCCAGGTTAAGTCTATTTTGCTGCTTATAAATAGGGGATGGTTATTTTTTGACCAAGTGAGAAATAATAAGGTTGCTAGACAGCCAAATTTTGAGAGAACAAATCTAGAGAAGAACCCTTGCTTTCCCTACCAAAATCCCTCACCTCTATCAAGATCAAACATAATCCTTCAAATAATCAACTATGGTTAGTGAGATCTTGAGTTGGACCATCCATTTATTAGTAGCATGTGTAAAGAACAGAAAGCCAAAGTGAATGTATAGAATAAAATAGTCAAAGTGATCACCGACTAATCTTGACAATAGCAATTCATATATTGTGGATACATATAATATAACGATTGACACATGTATCAAATTAAAACTAATAATTAAACAAATGCAACTGAACACAATATAAAACAAAGAAAAATAAATTAGAAAAATCTAGCCTTTGAGGGTCTGTGAGACACGTTGAAATGTTGTCCTAAAGTGACTAAGCTTTTCTATGTGAAGGTATTAGCGGACTACAGTAGCTCCAAGATACAACCCAGATTCAAAAGCAAGAACTCCTCAGGGTTCATGTACACAGAAGAGTGGAGATGAATCAGACTCTAATCGAGTTGCCCAAAATTTAGTATGATCAGAATACTTAGGAATGCAGAAAAGAACAAAGTCCTTCGTGAACAACCAATGTAAAATGAGACTTAAATTTCTGCCGATTGTTCTTGTACGAAGACCAAATGAAACAAAGGGTTTTTCTTTAAGTTGCTGGGAGATTTTCATATATGTCAATACTCAAAGAATTTGTCTTTTTATAGGCGTAAGTCATGCCCAGTGGGAAAAGGTGTCTTTGCACAAAACAATGGTAAAGTGTTGTTGCAGTGCAACGGTTGGACTCCAAGTATAACGGTTTAAAAAAAAAAACCTAATTAAAATTCAAGTTTCAACTCTACCAACTGTCATACCTTATACATTTATATAATATATAATAATTCAAAATATTTTAAATACCTCTTAGGGAAAAGTTGAAAGATGAAACCATATTTTTTTTTTAAAAGAAAAAATTTAATTTATTCCAACAGTATGTCCTAAGATCCATCACGCAGATGACATTAGGATTGTATTGATAATAATTATTATTTAATTAAATACACAGACAATTTTATTTATCATGTTACTAGTTTATTTCATTTTAACATACATGATAAAATCCATACAGTATAAGTTAAGAAGATAGTTTGTCAAGACGTTGATAGACTTCTTAGTACTTAACTCTAAAAGGTTCCTAGTCTTAAAATTTCTATGTGGGCACTACGTAATCTAAATAGACTAGCATATAATATATTTGCTCATATTTGTTGTAATATACCTCATCCAAGTCACTAGTGTAGGGACACTAAAGTAGGCGTGTGGGTACTCGTTCACTGCACATAACCATTGACTAACATAAAATTTTTTATATGGAGTTTTACATGTTTGTTAATGTTAAATCATAAGTTACAGTTATGCAATTGATCTTTAAACCTAAGACACCATGATTGTCTTGCGTAAAGACTTCTATGTATTAACCATACAACATAATCAAGTGCTAACCATATAACTTGGATATGTATCATTGGGAGTATCTAACCATGATATTAATTGAGGTATAAGACTCAAATACTTGTAAATTGATTTTGAGTTAGTGGATTAGGTTAGGTGAACTAGGTAGTGGTTTCATGGTTTTTCTAGAGTTAGGTTTTTGCGTCATCAATTACTTGTGTTATAGATGCTTCTTTATTGCTCTATTTTGCACGTCGTTGTCGTGGTGAAGTTATTGGGTATGAATTTAGTCTTAACGAGTTTGAGAATAATATAACACAGTACACTTAATTTCCATACACCAATAGCTGCCCCTCAAAGCAGATAAAAAAAATGCATGCAAATTAAGAATAATATAACACAGTACACTTAATTTCCATACTCCTCAATCTGTGTTCCATGTTACAGCAATAGACCTTAATATGTCCAAACAGTAAAATCTGTTCAATTGTGATCTTATCATCAATGGTTCGACATATGAGAATAACGTCTGCATGCAGAACATTTTATTTTTACAGACCCTGTAATAGCGAATAGGAAACCACTTTGAAATTAAAGGATGGAGCAGAATCCACCCTCGTAGGGAAAGTAGCGAACAACCACAAGATGGCATTCTTTGCAACATGTAGGGAGGGGATTCAGCTCTACCTCAGACTTTTCCTTAGGCTCTGGTGGATTAGGTTTTGGGGGTTCAACACTCATGATCTCTGCCCCCTTCCCTATCTTCCTGATTTGTTCCGCTAATCTCACAGGATCAACATTCCCCACCACCGTTAATGTCCATTTCTCAGCATCCACAGCTACAGAATCTATTCCTGTAAAAATTCCAAACCAGCAATTACAGGTCTGATGGCAATATATAATATATGTTCAAAGATAAAATAAATTATTTCGCTCTTTATATATGAATGAATTGATTGGTACGATTTGTTTCCTCAAGTAGAGGTATTGATCCAACCGAACTTGTTCATTTGACAGCCCTACCTTCAAGCTTTGCAACGGCTTTTAGTACTGCTGTTTTACACTTACGGCAGTTGAAACAAACGCGCAACACTGTTTTCTGTTTCATGGTTGAACAATGCAGGCAGGCCAACATACAAATTAAATTTTGTGACCACTAGCAATATATAGCAGAACTTATAGATGATTGAAATGGAGGGAGTAGTCTAGGAATCCATACCTTCATGTTAGTAATTGTAAGACTTCTGCTGCAACAATAATATTATCAACGTGGAGTAGAGAGGAGCTATTTAAACAAATAAAGTTGGGAATGATTCCTCTCCACTTTAAAATCTGGTGGAGTTTGGAGCACAGCAGATAGGTGGACTCACTCAAGTAGGTTCATATTAGTGTCAAAATGGTTACGGTACACTTATGGGCGGCTCAAGCTAAAGAAACATTAAATGAAGATTCTTTTATTTTTAGTATTATTTTTAAAAAAAAATTAATTTATTTTTAATTTTCTATGTGAGAGAAAGACAAAAAAAATATGTGTTAATATTGTCGAGAAAGAGATTTTAACTTTTGTTTCTATTTTTTATCACATAGAGGGAGAGAGAATATTAATTTCAACTTTTATTTTTGTTTTTTTATTTTTTTTATTGGAGAGAGAGAGTAAATATGAGTTGACTTTTGAGTATTTTTTATTTTTTTTAATTTCTAAGTTTTTAATGTTATGGAATGGATCATGAACCCAAATTATTGCAATAAAAATTTTGATTATATTTATTTTTTGGGACTTTTTTTAGGGTTTTAAAATTTAATGAATTTAATTTTTTTCTAAGTTACTAATGTATCTAAAATTACGAGACTTTTTTAAATTTTGAGCCTAAAGCTCAAGTTTTTTTTTGGACAAAATTCAATTTACTCCCTTATGGTTTGGGTATTTTGCACATGACCCCCGTATGATTTGGAAATCAGCACATTATCCTCTTGTGCTTTTGGACTAAAATGCTACCGTTAGTTTTTCCGTTAGATTAAACCATCTGTGACACACACGCGCCTAAAAAGAGATTTGATATAACAAAACTTTTTCCTTCCAAAAATAGACACAATAAAAATACAATAATGCCCTTCTTCAATCTTCATATTCTTGAACTATTGACTATCATATTTTTTCTCAAATAATTCACTTCAAGCACGGTCTCCTTATTAAAATTTTTAACAACAAAATTTTAAAAATTAAAATTAAGTGGATGATTCTTAACTATGCACAACTCAAGTGAAATTCATCTCACCACTCAAACCATAGGAATAACTAACGGCTAGAGATTCAATAATCATGGTGGGATCGTCTTTATGTGCAGGAAGGGGTGTGGCTTTGATGTCGTCGTTGGTCGCAGTGAGGAGAGCCTGGGAAGAGGGGGTTTGAGCAGAGAAGAGAGGGAAAGGGAGGAAAGGAGAGGATGAGATGGAGATATATCTAGGAGGGCTGTTTGGCGGTGGGTTGCCAATAGTTACAAAAGGGTGGTGAGAGAAAGGGGCAATGGGGTTGTTACTTAGAGACAGAGAGAGGGGAGTAGGGGTTGCTGATGGAGAGAGATGATGAAGAAGAGAGAGAGGGGAGAGTGACATTGCTGAGTCAGAGAGAGAGAGAGAGAGAGAGAGAGAGAGGCAACAAGGTGTATAGTGAGAGAAAATTAAAACTCTTGTTTAAACTTGAAACTTGAATTTTTAGGTATTCAAAATTTTGAGTTTCGAAGGTGAAGAGGGGCCTAATCCACCATTTTTAGAGTCAAGAAATCCATTTTTGAAGTTAGAATCAAGAAAGAATGAGGTTTGGTGGGTGAAAAATAAAATTAAAAATCGTGATAATTTTTGAAAATGATGAACCCGTCAGTTTGGAGCTCGATTTCCACTTACTTTGTGCATGATTTGGACAAACTAAATACATGGTTGGAAAGAGGGTAGAAAGAAGTTAAATTTTGGCATTTGAATCACCAAAAAATGTTGAGAAACGAGAGAGAAATTAAAGGCCAAAGTTGGCCCAAATGTTAAAAAAAATATGTTATGTACATAACTTGTCAAAATGAGTTTGTGATCACCTTTGAGCTTAAATTCGTGGGTTATGGGGGCTATTTAAGGAAACGAGTCCATGAGGTTTAAAACTAGGTTGAGAGTGGAGGATATTGGAATTGGTTTGAGGAAGAACTTGTAAAATTGGGTGGTTGGTTGATTTTTCAGAAAATTAGACTACAGTTGAGAGGGAGGAAGAAAATGATGAATAGTTGAGGGTACTAAAGTTATTTTACTACTTCTGTTTACTGTGTTAATTGTGCATATCGGTCTAAAAGTATAAAGGGGTAATGTGCTAATTTCCAAATCATAGGGGGATCATGTACAAAATACCCAAACCACAAGGGAGTAAACTAAATTTTGCCCTTTTTTTTTAATACTATTGAGCCGCCCCTCAATTCACTACATTATCAACGAGAGTCACGTTATTCTATATGCGACAAGATTGTTTTCATGACTTGCCCCATGACCTATTTTAGTGATAGAGCAACATTAAGTATCCAAAAATTAAAAGAGAGATACAAACTGAAGGTTTTTTTCTATGAATAAAATCAAATTTGTACATGAAATTTGAAGTAAAAAAGACATGACCACGTTGTTAAATTTGTCAATTTCACATGACTTTTGAATTCAATCACCAGAATTTTGTTTTGGTAGGTTTGAACGAGTCAAAAAAAAATCATCCGACACTCTGCTCCATTAGCAATGATAATGAGCTATTTTGATCTGCTGGTTGTGGTTATGTCTGCAATGCTGAGGTGAGAAGCTTGGCTAGTGCACATTGCTTTGTATGTTATAAAATTGAATGACATTTTTCATAAGCATCTTTAATTATAGGATAAAATTATAGTTGTTCCGTGAACTTTTAATTGTCTCATTTTAGTTCTTCAACTATTTATTTTCATCTCAATTAAGTCCTTCCATCAATTTTCATTGTTAGATCAACTAGAGACTAATCTAATTTGATCCATTTCAGCGTTGATCTAACAGTAAAAATGGACGGATTGACTTAAGTGAGATAAAATTGATAGTTTAGGGACTAAATTAGGATAATTAAAAGTTCAAGGACCAATTAAAATAAACAATAAAGTTCAAAGACCAATTACGATTTTTGCACTTAATTATGTTACACCATGGGATATATCTTTAGTCCGCTAATTTTAATAATGTTATTTGTGATGGTCCTGTAGGGAAGGCGAAAGAAGATTTCTGAGAGTCAAATCTCTTTATTTCTTGGTTGCAATCGAAAGTTGAGCTTTCCAATTGCAAATGTAGCAAGGTCCACCCCTACCCTAACCTTTCATAACAATGGCTAACTGATTTATCAGCAAGCACAGACCAAGAGTCGTTAGACCTCAGGGGTTTGAGCCCGAAATCAACCTTTCCAAAATTGAATTTAGGTTAGGTACCATTTACCCCTTTTAAAACCCATTATATGCGGAAAGTTCGTGTACTAGGTACGAGTACGACTTTTCAGTAATACCTTTTGTTGTGACGGATTCTTTTATTTAGATATTTCAGAGAACCTTAATATATATTGGTATATAAGATCATGGATTTTAACATACAAGCAATGTGACACTATCAAAATAGCTCATTATCTCTACATAATGTATGTAAGTAAAAAAATTACAAAAAAAAAAAAAGAAGTTAAATGACGACCCTTTACAAAAACTAAAGCTTAATACAATCATTTAAAATTGATCCTCATTAGTTTCGTACTTTAAATTAAGAACTGTATTATTATTGAAGTTTTTGGAACTTTCTTGTTCTAAATAATCATGCTTCAGACAAAATAAGTCGTCACAAGCTTCATTGACCCTAGTTATTTTATGAACGTACAAGAATTTTCATTTAACAACAAATTAAAATAACCCCATAATCCATTTAAACATAACCTAATGAATACAATATGTTCTAAACTTATCTGAATATATTTATAATGTGCCCGAAACATAGCCGAAAGTATTAGTTAGAAATATCGGGATGGGCCCCACAATCCATTAAGTACTCAAGAAATACTTAAAACCTATGAAATAATGATAATTTAAAATAGTTGAGGGTGACCCTGGTCCTCACTTACCTCCGCTAGTGTACATATGCATCGGCTGACACTACAAAAAAAAAAAAAAATAATTTTTAGCCGCTAAATTTAGATTGTAGCTACAAATATTGTCATGAATGAATATGTTTGGTGTCAAAAAAATTATTATTGTCATTGAAAATATGATGATAAAAATATTTAGTTGCCATAATTATTTGTCACCACTAAATATATATAATGTAGTTTATTTGAGGGACTTTATTTAAGGATATTATTTAAGGACCCAATAATGTAGTTTCAACACAACTATTGGATTAGTTGTGAGTTCCAATGTTAGATAGAACTCACAACTAATCCAATGAAAACTTTAAATCCAAATCTAGAGAAAATGAGAGATTTGAATTTTTTTAGCTGGGAATAAAACTTGAGATGAATTTTGTACTATTAGATCAAAATAGATAAAAATTAAATAAATATTTACCGTTGTGCTTTTATAAGTTGAGAATTTAACTTTCTAAATATAAATAATTAATAATTTTTATATATTTTTTAAATACACAATTTTAAATTAATGTGAACAAAGAAAAAATAAGAGAGAAACAGAACAAAGAGAAGAGAGAGAGCTATATATGGATTAATGAGATTGTATGATATTGGGGAGCATGTCCATTGAGTTTTCTGATATCGGGAGCACTGCAATGATTTTATTGAGTGAAAAAAATTTGAAATATTTTTTATATTATTGGATCAAAATATATGAAAATTAGATCAATCTTTATTATTATGTTTTTTATAAATTATAAATTCAATTTGTAATATTAGATATATATATATATATATATACACAATAAAAGTTAATGATTACTTTATGGTAAGTACACGGAGTTTTACTACGCAATAGTAGTTTGAGATAGAGTCACCAATGTGAGGACGTTCAAGTGGAATGTAGCAACAAATGGTGTCAGTAGGGGGACAGAGACATGTCTGATGTTTCCTTTCCAATTCTTAAG